GGGGGATTGTGGTCAGATTTTGGGGTGGTTTGGGGTGATTGTGGCTGGATTTTGGGGTGATTTGGGGTGATTGTGGCTGGATTTTGGGGTGATTGTGGTCAGATTTTGGGGTGGTTTGGGGTGACTCTGGCTGGATTTTGGGGTGGTTTGGGGTGATTCTGGCTTTGGGATTTTGGGGTGGTTTGGGGTAATTCTGGCCAGATTTTGGGGTGGCTTTGGGGTGATTTGGGGTATTTTCAGCCGGATTTTGGGGTGATTTGAGGTGACTCTGGCCGGATTTTGGGGTGGTTTGGGGTGACTCTGTCTGGATTTTGGGGTGATTTGGTTGATTCTGTCTGGATTTTGGGGTGGTTTGGGGTGATTCTGGCCAGATTTTGGGGTGATCTGGGGTGATTCTGGCCGGATTTTGGGGTGATTTGGGGCGATTCTGGCTTTGGGATTTTGGGGTGATTTGGGGCAATTCTGGCCAGATTTTGGGGTGGTTTGGGGTGACTCTGGCCGGATTTTGGGGTGATTTGGGGTGATTTTGGGGTGCTTTCAGCCCCCCCTCACTGGCAGAAGGGCGAGGCCGTGGGGTCGAAGCCCTTGAAGACGCCCTTGAGCCTGGTTGGGGTTTTGGGGTGGATTTGGGGTTTTGGGGTGGATTTGGGGTTTCTGGGTGGATTTGGGGCGATTCTGGCTGGATTTTGGGGTGATTTGGGGTGATTTTGGGGTGATTCAGCCCCCCCTCACTGGCAGAAGGGCGAGGCCGTGGGGTCGAAGCCCTTGAAGACGCCCTTGAGCCTGGTTGGGGTTTTGGGGTGGATTTGGGGTTTTGGGGTGGATTTGGGGTTTCTGGGTGGATTTGGGGCGACTCTGGCCGGATTTTGGGGTGATTTGGGGTGATTCAGCCCCCCCTCACTGGCAGAAGGGCGAGGCCGTGGGGTCGAAGCCCTTGAACACCTCCTTGAGCGACGCCGCGTCCTCGGGGGGGTCCCTGGCGGGGCTGTTTCCCGGGAAGGGGCTCCCGGCTCCGGGCCGGGTCCCCCCCCCGGCCTTGGCCCTGCCGTACAGGGGGGGGGGCACGGGCAGGTTGTGCAGGGCGGGCTGGGGGTGCTGGGGGGCGGTTTGGGGGGGTCCCTCCCCGCCCTGGGGGGGGGGGTTGGGGGTGCTGTTGGTGCTGCTGTTGGTGCTGTTGGTGCTGTTGTTGCCCCCCCGGGGGCGGGGCCGGTTGTAGCTGTTGTTGTACCTGTCCGGGGGCTCCGCCCTGTCCGTGTCCGGGGGCGGCTCCAGCGCCGAGCGCCGCAGGAACGGCGGCTCCTTGGGGGGCTCCTTGGGGGGCTCCCTGGGGGGCTCCCTGGGGGGCTCCTTGGCCTTCCCGCCGGCCGCGGGGGGGTGGTTTTTGGGGGCGGGGGTCCCGTCGGCGGCGCCTGCCCCCCCCTCGGGGCTGTGGGCGGTGCGGGGGTCGTAGAGGCTGATGTTGCTCAGGACGCTGCTGCTCTGGCCGCCCCCGCCCCAGCTCAGCCGGGGGTCGTAGGGAGCGATGGGGCCGGGGCCGGAGTCCCCCCCGCCGGGGTTGGGATTCCCGCCGGGGTTCCCGCTCTCCCTGGGGCTCTCCAGGCATTTCTGGAGGCGGGGGTCGGCCGGGGGGTTCTTCCTGACGCGGGGGTCGCTGGGTTTGTCCCCCCCCGAGGCGTTGACAGTCTGCAGGATGCGGGAGAGCAGCTCGAAGTCCGGCAGGGCGGAGGAGGAGGAGGAGGAGGAGCAGGAGGAGGAGGAGGAGGAGGATGAAGCCGGGGCGGCTCCGGGCTCTCCGCCGGCTCTCCTGGGGTCCGAGGGCGCCCGGAGCAGGCGGGGGTCGGATCCTGGAGCGGCCTGGAGGGCGGCGGGAAGGGCCACGGGGGGAGGAGGCTCCTGCTTGGGCAGGGGCAGCGGGATCAGGTCCTCGGGGCTCCACAGGACGGCGCGGGCGAAGGGCGGCTTGGGCAGCACCACGGCCTTGCGGATGTGGCTGAACTGCTGGAGCTGGGAGCGCGGGTCCCGCTGGGAATGGCCCGGCAGCGGCTCCAGGGGGATGGGCAGGGCCTTGTCCCGCAGCAGCCGCTCCCCCTCCTCCTCCTCGGGGGCCCCTCGGGGGGGCTCGGCCCTGGGGGGGCCGTGCCGGGCCAGCCGGGGGTCGGAGGGTCCCGGATCCAGGGGCGGGAGCTGCTCGGGATTCCGGGCCAGGCGCGGGTCCCGCAGCCGGGGGTCGGAGGGGCGGGGGGGTCTCTGCAGCCGGGGGTCGCTGGGGGGGTCCCCGGGGGGGTTGCTGGGGGGTCTCCCGGAGCTCTGCTGGCGCAGGGATTTGAGGATGGAGGTGACGCTGCTGCCGCCGTCGTCCTCGTCGCTGGAGTACCAGTTCCCGGGATCGCCTGGCAACGGGGGACAGGGGGTGAGAGGAGCCCCAAAAGGGGTTCTCAAAGGAGAACCTGGAATATTCCCGGGTTTTCCTAAAAACAAGGAGCCTCTGGCCTTGATTTCAGCCCCCAAAGTCCCAGAGAGCTGCAGCACCAGTTCCCGGGATCGCCTGGCAACGGGGGACAAGGAAGGACAGAACAGGGAGAGAAACCCCAGAATGGGTTCTTAAAATAGATCCCTGAAATATTCCCGGGTTTTCCCAAAAACAGGGAGCCTCTGGCCTCAATTTCACCCCCCAAAGTCCCAGAGAGCTGCAGCACCAGTTCCCGGGATCGCCTGGGAATGGGGGACAGGGAAGGAGGGAACAGGGAGAGAAACCCCAGAATGGGTTCTTAAAATAGATCCCTAAAATATTCCCAGGTTTTCCCAAAAAGAGGGAAGCTCTGGCCTTGATTTCAGCCCCCAAAGTCCCAGAGAGCTGCAGCACCAGTTCCCGGGATCGCCTGGGAACGGGGAACAGGGAATGAGGGGACAGGGACAGGAGCCCCAGAATGGGTTCTTAAAATAGATCCCTGAAATATTCCCGGGTTTTCCCAAAAACAGGGAAGCTCTGGCCCCAATTTCAGCCCCCAAAGTCCCAGAGAGCTGCAGTACCAGTTCCCGGGATCGCCTGGGATGGGGGACAGGGAAGGAGGGGACAGGGAGAGAAGCCCCACAATGATCAGGATCAGGAGCTGCAGAGGGAGCAGGATTGGAGTCGAGGCTGTACCAGGATCAGGATCGGGACTGGGATCAGGATCAGGGATCGGGATCAGGGTCAGGGATCGGGATCAGGATCAGGGATTGGGATCAGGCTCAGGCTCAGGCTCAGGGATTGGGATCAAGCTCAGGGATTGGGCTCAGGATCAGGATCAGGCTCAGGGATTGGGCTCAGGATCAGGATCAGGCTCAGGGATTGGGCTCAGGATCAGGATCAGGCTCAAGCTGAGGGATCAGGCTTAGGCTCAGGCTCAGGGATTGGGATCAGGCTCAGGGATCGGGATCAGGCTCAGGGATCGGGATCAGGCTCAGGGATCGGGATCAGGCTCAGGGATCGGGATCAGGCTCAGGGATTGGGATCAGACTCAGGGATTGGGATCAGGTTCAGGGATCGGGATCAGGCTCAGGGATTGGGATCAGGATCAGGATCAAACTCAGGCTCAGGAATCAGGATAATGCTCAGGGATCAGGGTCAAGCTCAGGGATTGGGATCAAGCTCAGGGACTGGGATCAGACTCAGGCTCAGCGATTGGGATCGGGTTCAGGGATCAGGCTCAGGTTCAGGATTTGGGATCAGGCTCAGGGATCGGGATCAGGCTCAGAATTCCCTCCTTGCCTTCCTCATTGTCCCGCTCCGTTTTCCCGGGCTCAGGGATTGGGATCAGGTTCAGGGATCAGGGATCAGGGATTGGGATCAGGGATTGGGATGAGGCTCAGAATTCCCTCCTTGCCTTCCTCGTTGTCCCGCTCCGTTTTCCCGGGCTCAGGCTCAGGCTCAGGGATCGGGATCAGGCTCAGGGATTGGGATCAGACTCAGGGATCGGGATCAGACTCAGGGATTGGGATCAGACTCAGGGATCGGGATCAGGCTCAGAATTCCCTCCTTGCCTTCCTCGTTGTCCCGCTCCGTTTTCCCGGGCTCAGGCTCAGGGTCAGGGATTGGGATCAGGGATCAGGGATCAGGGACTGGGATCAGGGATTGGGATGAGGCTCAGAATTCCCTCCTTGCCTTCCTCGTTGTCCCGGTCTGTTTTCCCAGGCTCAGGCTCAGGGTTGAGGGATTGGGATCAGGCTCAGGGATCAGGGATTGGGATCAGGGATTGGGATGAGGGCTCAGGGCTGGGGATTCCCTCCTTGCCTTCCTCGTTGTCCCGCTCCGTTTTCCCGGGCTCTCCCCCCCTCCGGGCCCGCTCCTCGTCCTCGTGCTGCTTGTGCTGGATGCGCAGGAAGAGCGCCCGCTGCGCCGACGGCAGGAACTCGGGAAGGCCGGGAAGGCCGGGGCCCTTCCCCAGCCCGGGGGGGCCCTCGCAGAGCCCCTCGGGATCCAGGGAGGGATCCGGGAACAGGGGATCCCCCCCCGGCCCCTCCAGGGGCTCGTACCCGCCGTAGTCGTCTGGGAAAGGGAACGGGGGGGAAATTCGGGATGAGAAAGGGTTTGGGAGGAGCCATTCCAGGTTTTCCTGCTGCTACGGGAGGGACACGGAGCCCCTCGGGATGTGGGGATGGATCCTGGAACTGGGGATGGATCCGGGAACTGGGGATGGATCCTGGAACTGGGGATGGATCCTGGAACTGGGGATGGATCTGGGAACTGGGGATGGATCCGGGAACTGGGGATGGATCCTGGAACTGGGGATGGATCCTGGAACTGGGGATGGATCTGGGAACTGGGGATGGATCCTGGAACTAGGGATGGATCCTGGAACTGGGGATGGATCCGGGAACTGGGGATGGATCCTGGAACTGGGGATGGATCCTGGGATCAGGGGATGGATCTGGGAACTGGGGATGGATCCGGGAACTGGGGATGGATCCGGGAACTGGGGATGGATCCTGGAACTGGGGATGGATCCTGGGATCAGGGGATGGATCCGGGAACTGGGGATGGATCCTGGAACTGGGGATGGATCCTGGAACTGGGGATGGATCCTGGAACTGGGGATGGATCCTGGAACTGGGGATGGATCCTGGAACTGGGGATGGATCCTGGAACTGGGGATGGATCCTGGAACTGGGGATGGATCCGGGAACTGGGGATGGATCCGGGAACTGGGGATGGATCCGGGAACTCGGGATGGATCCTGGAACTGGGGATGGATCTGGGAACAGGGGATGGATCCGGGAACTGGGGATGGATCCGGGAACTGGGGATGGATCCTGGAACTAGGGATGGATCTGGGAAAAGGAGATGGATCCTGGAACTAGGGATGAGAAGGAGGATTTGGGATGAGCACCAGGGATTGGGGATGAGCAGCAGGGATTGGGGATGAGAAGGAGGATTTGGAATGAGAAGGAGGATTTGGGATGAGCAGCAGGATTTGGGATGAGCAGCAGGATTTGGGCTGAGCAGCAGGGATTGGGCTGAGCAGCAGGGTTTGGGATGAGCAGCAGGGTTTGGGATGAGCAGCAGGATTTGGGAGGAGCAGCAGGATTTGGGATGAGAAGGAGGATTTGAGATGAGAAGGAGGATTTGGGCTGAGCAGCAGGGTTTGGGAGGAGCAGCAGGATTTGGGCTGAGCAGCAGGGTTTGGGATGAGCAGCAGGATTTGGGCTGAGCAGCAGGGATTGGGAGGAGCAGCAGGATTTGGGATGAGAAGGAGGATTTGAGATGAGAAGGAGGATTTGGGCTGAGCAGCAGGGTTTGGGAGGAGCAGCAGGGTTTGGGAGGAGCAGCAGGGTTTGGGCTGAGCAGCAGGATTTGGGATGAGCAGCAGGATTTGGGATGAGAAGCAGGGATTGGGAGGAGCAGCAGGATTTGGGATGAGCAGCAGGGTTTGGGAGGAGCAGCAGGATTTGGGAGGAGCAGCAGGATTTGGGATGAGCAGCAGGATTTGGGATGAAAAGGTGGATTTGGGAGGAGCAGCAGGATTTGGGATGAGCAGCAGGATTTGGGATGAAAAGGAGAATTTGGGATGAGAAGGAGGATTAGGGATGAGCAGCAGGATTTGGGATGAGCAGCAGGATTTGGGATGAGAAGGAGGATTAGGGATGAGCAGCAGGATTTGGGATGAGCAGCAGGATTTGGGATGAGCAGCAGGATTTGGGATGAGAAGGAGGATTAGGGATGAGCAGCAGGATTTGGGATGAGAAGGAGGATTTGGGAGGAGCAGCAGGATTTGGGAGGAGCAGCAGGATTTGGGATGAAAAGGAGGATTTGGGATGAGAAGGTGGATTTGGGATGAGCAGCAGGATTTGGGCTGAGCAGCAGGGTTTGGGATGAGCAGCAGGATTTGGGCTGAGCAGCAGGGATTGGGAGGAGCAGCAGGATTTGGGAGGAGAAGGAGGATTTGGGAGGAGCAGCAGGATTTGGGATGAGCAGCAGGGTTTGGGATGAGCAGCAGGATTTGGGATGAGAAGGAGGATTTGGGATGAGCAGCAGGGATTTGGGAGGAGCAGCAGGATTTGGGATGAGCAGCAGGATTTGGGATGAGAAGGTGGATTTGGGATGAGCAGCAGGATTTGGGCTGAGCAGCAGGGTTTGGGATGAGCAGCAGGGTTTGGGAGGAGCAGCAGGATTTGGGCTGAGCAGCAGGATTTGGGATGAGAAGGAGGATTTGGGCTGAGCAGCAGGATTTGGGATGAGAAGGAGGATTTGGGCTGAGCAGCAGGATTTGGGATGAGCAGCAGGATTTGGGATGAGCAGCAGGGTTTGGGATGAGAAGGAGGATTTGGGCTGAGCAGCAGGATTTGGGATGAGCAGCAGGGTTTGGGATGAGAAGGAGGATTTGGGATGAGCAGCAGGATTTGGGATGAGAAGGAGGATTTGGGATGAGAAGGAGGGTTTGGGAGGAGCAGCAGGATTTGGGATGAGCAGCAGGGTTTGGGCTGAGCAGCAGGGATTGGGATGAGAAGGAGGATTTGGGATGAAAAGGAGGATTTGGGCTGAGAAGGAGGGTTTGGGAGGAGCAGTAGGATTTGGGATGAGCAGCCATTCCCGGTTTCCCCACCTGTGTCTCCCATGTTTCCGGGCTCCACGTCCATCCCCTCCTGGGGGGGGTAGAAGGACTCGTAGAACCCCTGGCCCGGCCCCGGCGGGATCATCCCGGGGTGGGGGTGGGGGTGGGGGTGGGAATGGGGGTGGGGGGACTCCTCGGGGCCCCCCCCGCCCCCGTAGGGCAGCAGGGGGGGCCCGGGGGGGCCCAGGGGGGGCCCCATGGGGATGTCGGGGTGCAGGTCGGGGTGCAGGTCGGGGTGCAGGTCGGGGTGCAGGTCGGGGTGCAGGGGGGGGCCGGGAATGGGGCCGGGGGGGCCTCCCGGGCCCGGGAATCGCGGGGGGGGTGGCCCCGGGTGCCTGGAAAACAGCGGGAAAACGGGAATTAGGGGGGGAACAGGGGGCACAACTGACCCCCGGGGGGCACAACTGACCCCCAGCTGTGCCCACCTGACCCCCAGGGGCACTCATCTGTGCCCAGGTACCCCCGGATACCCTCGGGTGTGCCCAGGGGCCCCAGGTGCCCTCCCCTGTCCCCAGATGTGCCCAGGTGTGCCCAGGTACCCGCAGGGGTCCCCAGGTACCCCCAGGTGTCCCCAGGTGCCCTCCCCTGTACCCAGGTGCCCTCCCCTGTGCCCAGGTGCCCCCAGGTGCCCACCTGACTCCCAGTTTCTCTGCCAGCTGCCCCATGGGCCTCACCTGTGCCCAGGTGTCCCCAGGTACCCCCAGGTGCCCCCAGGTGTGCCCAGGTACCCCCAGTGTGCCCAGATACCCCCAGGTACCCCCAGGTGTG